GAGAGAGAGAGAGATGGGGGCAAGCGACAGGTGGGCCCGGCAGTGCTTCTCGAAGCCGGTCACAGACCTGCGAGGCGCGTAGAAAACGTATGCCTCGATTCCAGACGCCCGGCCCACGCGTCGCCTTTCTCCAGACGCTCACCTTCCCCGGCGACCCACGGCGCGGATCATCGTCTCCCATGGGGCCCGCGCGTCGCAGGAGCGGCAGCATCACCCGTACCGCGCCAGGTGGGGTCCAGTCTTGTTCGGTCTTAGCAAATTTGCGGGGCCCACTTTCGGGGAAGGAAGCGAAACGCGGTCAGCGCTGTCCTGCCTCGTTCAGGCGATCCCCTCCCCCCGGTTCCCCGTCGGGAACATTCAGCGGAGCCAACAAAGACACGTGAAGAGCAGCGCGCAATCCGCAGCTCCCGCGGGACCGGCAGATCGCGGGGCGGTGTTTGCGGGATGACGCGCATCGCACGAGTCGGGGTCCATCTCGTGGCCCATTCCAACAAAGGGGCCCACAGCCGGCGGAAGAAGCATTGTCTTCCTATCGGTGGAACTAACTGAATCCTGTTTGGAATCTCTCAGGCGATCTTCTCCATCCGGTTCGAAGAATGAAACGAGAAGAGTCGCCTATTAAGTTTCATTGAACCTATTAAGTAACGTAACGAACTGCTACGCTAATAATGTGAAGCTAATGACCGATATTTAGTCATTAAAGCCGCTATTTATTCCTAAAAAAGGCAAAAAAGAAAATAACGATTCGGGAACGGTCGAGACAGCAACAGCTGTCAGGGATTCGAACCTTACTAGAATTCCTCCCTCACGGATTATTGCAGCGGATCCGGAGGAAGCGGAGGGAGGGGGAACGTATGAGCCGGCCCCATTTGTAGGCCCCACGCGAACGATGGTTGGGGGCCGTGTCAGACGACGAGGTGAGAAGAGAAGCGCAGGGAGGCGGAGGCAATGGCCGCGGTGCATGCCTTGGGCATGGCGGAGGACCCAATTCCCTCTCCTCTTCCTCCCGCCCTCCCCGTGTAGTCCTAGAACCCGACCTCGCATCGCTCTTGCGCAACAGCCGCTCTCTCTCTCTCTACCATCCGTCTTTCCCTGTCAGGCCCAGGTTCGTCGCCGCGTCTGATCTCGTCGATCGAGCAACGGGGACCCCCGCATTGCCCCCCGGCCTCGAATCCTTTACCCTCATGTTTGGTTTTCCGCTTCTTGATTTGGCCTTACTCTCCAATCTTCGTTTCTCGAATTTTCCTTGAAGGGTCTCGGAGATGGCGGAGGTAACGAAGTTGCTGTACATTGTAGTGGTGGACGAAGGAGAGGGGGAAGGAGGCGATGGCAAGAGCGGGAAGGCGAAGGGGAGCTCGTCGTTCCGGTACGCGCGGCCCGTGCTGCAGAGCACGCTGCAGCTCATGGGTTGCAAGGCTCGTCACGCTTTCAAGGTTTCGTGATCCTGTAGGCGACATGGTTTTAGTTGTTCGATGCGTTTTACCTCGTGACGTTTCGCTTCTTTCCCGTTTGTCTTATGTTTTCTCCCTTTTTCCCTCAGCAACACGCTTCCGCTTCTTGATTCTTGCGTCGAACAATTGCAATCGTTCTGCTTTTGTGGGAATTATCTGCTCTTTTGTTCTTCTTGTTCCCACAGTGAATTTTTGTTAACTCTTAGTTTCTATAGGTATGACTTTGAATTCTTACGATGTTTTCGACAAGGTTTTGTGAGAATTTGAAACCAAGGTTTGGATATTGTTATGTAGAATTATGTACTTAAATAATGGACGTTTAGCCTATTCATTTTTTGTCATGTTTTGTTAGGTTGGATTTGCAAATTCATGCTCTTACGCTATCTAAATGAAGATTAGTTTTAGGCTCTTCAGGAGATTCTTTTTTCGTTGGATTCAGGAGATATCTAAATGTGACATTTCTTTTATTTTTTTCCCAGATCAGCCGAAGAGTATTTGATGTGATGAGAGATGAGTGCTCAGGCGGCAGCTTGCTTTCTGATGCTGCAAGCTCGGATGCCTGGAAAATTCCATCCAATGAGGAACATGAGTATAGCATAACCTGCGGCTTGGGCCAGGGGAACATGGCTCATCAGTCGACTGTAGAGAATGTGGATACCAGTGGTGGAAGTTCATTCGAATTGTACAAAAGACTAACAACTGTTGTTGTTTCAAGGGAACACTTCTTGGACATCGTCTGTGATGCTCTTGCCCTATATAATTACGTCGGTCCCAATCAAAGAGCTGATTTGCTTTTAGCCTGCAGGTATATCATCTGTTTCCTTTTGAATTGCTCAAACTGAGTTACCATTTGTCTAAATGGTAAAGAACTAAATCAAAGTTCAATAATTATGCAACAGATCCTGAATTTTTTATGTATAGCATGGAACAAAATTTTTCACAGAGATTTTCCTTATGTTTTGTATACGATGTAAAATAGTTGCATGCTTCTGATTTTCTCTCTTCATTGAACAGTGACCCAAAATATCATGTGATGCCCTTTAGGTAATATATTTGTTCAATCAAGAATGAGATGTTGCTAGTGAACACTATAAGTGTTTTTCTCCATTAAGTTTTACCCTCAAGTAAGCAATAAGAAGTATGCTAAACATGCTTAGTTTCTATTTCTTGTCTTGCTAAAAGCATCCTTGTCCTAATCCACATGCACTACATTTTGTAGAACTACTCTTTATATGCTTGTTGTTTGTATATCTGTAAATAGAAATGTTAACTATATATAAGAGATCTTATCAGATATTCTACATATAAATTCATTATGTCTGTTAATTTTACTTCATTTTCCTATCTCTACAAGAACTCACCATGTTTCTTAGATTTTCAGTATGGAGTTTTTATTCTGCTTCTGTCAAGTGGTTGGCTACTTTGACAAATTGTTTATCGAAGTGATGGGTATACTTAGTACATACATATATAAAATACCTAAATTTTGCATTAAGTCAAGCATAAATTTGTGCAAATATAAAGTTGAAGTTACCATAATAGGTTCCACTAGAATGGAAATTTTGTATCTAATGTTTCTCTAGTTGAGCAGATTGATTTGTCACTGGTCACTTTTTGGGTGCATAGTAGAGTGTGCCAACTTTTGGCCTCGTGATCAATAAAAAGATGATATAATGATGTAACATTACCATTCAATGAACCTCAATATGTTCTAGCTATAGCTATGATAGAGAGGATCTGAACCTCGTGTCCACTTTTCCTTGCATTACCAATTTTGGACAGATTTTCTCTTGCTTGTACTCCTAATGGTGAGGTGCAGCACATCAGTGGTTAGGTTATTAAAGTTATAAAAATGTCAATTTGCTATTAAATTATTACCATGATCCCAAGTTTCCACTGTTATGTCTGATGTCTCCATTCCTCCCGACATTCCACTCTAGTATCAGGTCTCTTATTCTTTTAGCAGATTGTTGATCTAAATGACAAAATATTGGCAAGCAGCCTGCCATATTGATATCATCTGTCTGTAATACTACTTGACCAGCAGTTCCAGGACCGTCCTGATCTTAAAGCCTCATAATGATGTCCTATTTTCATTGATTTTGCAGTATCTTAATTAATGTTGTCTCCTGAGTGATTTACTTATTCAGACTATATAATCTGTAAACGTGACCTTTATGAACTGGTTAGAAAGAGAGGTTGTAGTTGAAATTTTGCATGCTTAGGTCAATATCCTCTGTGTGATTGAACCTCACCTGGGCATCATCAACGTCAAGTACAGTCATATTGACACAGTTAACACTTGACAGCAGGCATCGTAAAGCTAAAATTCAGTGTACTTTTAGTCATTAAAGCGAACAGGTGTATTTCAGGTATCATATTTTCATGCTAAGTATCTTCCTATGCTTCCCTTGTTGTAGAATTTTCTGTAGCTCCCACTTTATAACAGTGCAGCATGGAAACAGATATCTGGTTCTCCGTATCCTGTAAGGTTCAGACATAAGTAGTATTGTAAGGAATAATTGAGATTTGTATTGTGATGAACTATTCTTAGATTTATTGTTATTCCTTATTTAAAGTTGTTGGCTTCAGTTTTGACCAATAGAATCGTTTTTTAATATTTCGCTAGGTTTTTGTTTTCTATCTTTCATTATAAAAGACACTTGCTAATTTATTCACTTTGAAGAACTGAACTGCTCTTTGTTTGATTTTCTGCTTTCATTTTTATGTCTTGTGATTCCTAAATAATTATTTTCCTTTTAAAATTCTTTTAGGATTCGAGAAAGAAAGGAATCTGTGACAGTACTTTTGTGTGGCACTAGTGGCTGTGGCAAGTCAACTTTGTCTGCTTTGCTGGTACTTCCTGAGAATACTTAGTGAACATTTGCTTAATTCCACTCATTATTTTTGTGATTTATGAATTTTGGGATTCTGTAGCTAATGTTTAATTTACATTCAGATGAATTGGAACATGCATTTAGTCGATTATTCTTCCTAAATGAATTTAATAAAATTTTCTTATATGTTTCCTTATCATAAAGAACAAGAAAGAGAAAGAGGAAAGGTAATATAGCAATGAACAATCAACACAAACAGACAACAAGAAGGCCTAAAATGCCTGTCAGAAAGCAATTGCTGTGAAAGCATGTTAAAAGTAATTCTTCTTGGCTCCTTAGGGAACAGTTCCTCTCCGGGCGAATGTATGGTAATGAAATTCAAGAAGAGACATATCTTTCTTGAGATATATCCTATGCAGCAGTAACTTTTTATGTTGTAATGTCTTAGTTGCAGCATTTGATATACTAATAGGAAAATGTTGTAAGTTATGTGTACAGAAGAGAGCTGACTTGTAAGCTTGTTTTTCAGTGGATCATTTTGAACTTCTAACTTTGACGCCCTCTTTATGTAGGTATTTCGACTACAGAGAATATCATTGGTTAGCCAATTTTGTTAGATTCTCTCTACCAGAGTAACTAGCCTTCGCACTTATCCTCTCTTTTGGCCTCTGAAGCTAGAGGCATGGTTTGTAATCGTTTAATTAGCTAATATATCTTTCTTTTGGAGAAAAAGAACTATAGAGAATATCTGCTTAATTCAGTTTTAGAAACCACATAGAATCAATCACATTTGTGATGAGTTTGACATTATGTATCTTTGTCACTTTGTCTTCTAGCTTGAAAATACTTGACCATCATACTTGCTAGGCGCTCTTAAAAATAGTCTACTTTGGTCTTATGTTATTTATGGATATCTTACAGACTGAATGTTGGGCAAAATCAATTCAAATTTATGAAGACATTTTCTTTACATATTTCTTAACAGGGAAGCAGATTGGGTGTGACAACCGTCATTTCTACTGATTCAATACGCCATATGATGAGGAGCTATGTGGATGAGAAACAAAATCCACTCCTTTGGGCTTCAACTTATCATGCTGGAGAATGTCTAGATCCAGTAGCAGTCGCGAAAGCAAAGGCCAATCGAAAAGCAAAAAAACTTGCTGTTTCACACACAATGATTAAGGAAGAGACATCTGATGGAGCTTTAAATCAAAAGCTTGAAAGACGATCTCATGATCTGGTCCTTGGAACTGAGTTAATTGGCAAAAAGCAAATGGCTATTGAAGGTTTTAAAGCACAAAGTGAAATGGTCATAGACAGCCTTGATCGATTAATCACTGCTTGGGAGGAGCGAAAAGAATCTGTTGTTGTTGAGGGTGTTCACTTGAGCCTTAATTTTGTGGTGGGTACCTGGCAATGGCAATACATTTCCTTTACTTAATTTTCTTTATTTGGATTTGTTGAAAAATTGTTCAGACTCATAGTTCTCAAATCCAAATCCATAGATGATCTCACACAAACTTACATAGAGTCCAGGTTTTTCTTCATGTTTGATTCCTAATTGATGTCCTATGCTTGTTTTTTTGGTTAGATGGGGCTCATGAAGAAGCATCCTTCGATTGTACCATTTATGATCTACATAACAAATGAAGACAAACATATGGAAAGATTTGCAGTGCGTGCCAAATACATGACATTGGACCCAGCAAAGAATAAGTATGTAAAATATATTCAAAATATCAGAGCAATTCAGGAGTATCTTTGTAAAAGGGCTGATAAGCATCTGGTTCCAAAAATAAATAACACAAATGTTGACAGGAGTGTGGCAGCTATCCATGCCACAGTTTTTGGCTGTCTGCGCAGGCGGGAGGCAGGCGAGCAGCTCTATGATCCGACTACAAATACAGTGTCTGTGATACATGAAGAATACAGAAATCAGTGTGTGGCAAATTCTCTTAGTTCCAAGGGAATGTTTCAGTTGATCCAGAGAAAGGGTTCCTCAAGGCATCTAATGGCGCTACTCAACACGGATGGCTCTGTTGCCAAGGCTTGGCCCGTCGAATCAGTTGATTCTAATAGGAAGTTCTCTGGATATGGGGGAGAAAAGTGCCTGGGAAACCCCATGTATGGGCCCTTACTGATTGGGAAGGCTGAGCCAGTTAATCTTCAATTTGGAAATTATGGGATCAGTGCATGGCCGAATGATACATGTGGTACAAGTCAAACAGGGAGCGTCGATGGCTCGAGGGCTGATGCCGCCGATTCTGGCAGCAGATACTTTTCTTCCTGTTGCAGCTCTCCGAAGGCATTGGATGGACCTGCCAAAGAGGTATGTTTTTAGCTGATACCTTTGTGCTTTGTTGATTTGATTTGTATCCTGCAGTTGGTCATGCTGGATGTCACTGATATATATGTATTATTTTCATTTTCTAAGTGGCGAAAAAGAAAAATCCTCTCATGCTATGCATTGTGCTATAAATCTTTTCAGCTTAAGGAAGAAATCTTTGTATCTGGTAGCGAAGAAGAAGCTGACTATCCACCTGATGGTGACAGTGATGAGGATCTTAGCGACATGGACCACAAGGAGATCCATGATGAGGTAGGAACCAGACCTTTGTCGTTCTCTTATTCCCAAGAAAACCTTCCTTCGATCTGAACCTTCCTTCCCCATGATACAGCTTTCCTAGACTTTAGTGTTGTGCAGTAATTTTGGAAATGGTGTTACAATGTAGAAACTCCATTACAGTGTCCCCTGTTCTGAGCTTGAGTACGAAATAAATGCCATTGCTTGATGTCCATTTGTCAGGTTGAAGGTTCTGTTGATGAAGACTCTACCAAGTCGGATGAGGAGTATGATGATTTGGCCATGCGAGATGGCCTGGAAAATGGTTATTGGTCCGATGACGATTGTCCTGAGTCAACAAACATAAAGAGAATAGCAGATGATCAAGAACCTATAGATGAAGGAGATGGTGTTGCAGCAGGTGAGTACCAACACAATCTCGAGCACATCTTCAAGAGGAGTGAGGGTGTGGTGGAACCACTGCTCCCTTGTACTCTGCCACGCGAGATAAACGAGACAAACACGGGCCAGAGAACAAGGAGACGGTCCTTGAGTGACTCCATGCAACTTCAGTACCGGACGCGGAGCACTCCTGCTGCCACCGAGGAGCTGAGAGCACTGCAGAAAAGCCCGGTCCTTGCAGTTGTGACTCGGTATGGCCCAATGGCCTCCTGCTGACGATGACTCTTGCACAGGTCTAACAAGCTGCGAGTTTTTTCCTTTCCAAGGATTACTTGGAAGGTTTGGTTGACGATGGATTCTATTATGTTGAATCAGTGTCAAAATATTTTTTTCTTGGTTTTGAATTCCCGGATGACGACGAAGGAAGATTCTGTGGAATGTTGTGGCTTACCTGTTGAGATGCTTCACGCGTGCAGGTTTTTGTTGGAGCTTTTGTATTGAATTGGTTGCTTCTAATGATGGGAAAATATGGCTATGAAAGAAGAAGGAACCATTCATCAGACGTGATGATTGGCGCGGATACACAGTAATTTAGCATGCATGTGATGAGAGCGAACCCATAGCATAATATTCCTGAAATAGTAATCCCAAGTAATACTCCTACATTTCTTAAGATTCTTGAAATATCAATCCAAAAATAACCCTCCTATATTTCCTGTAAGTAGAAGTTTATTTTTAAATTTATATAAAAGATGAGTGATGAAGATGAGATTTGATAAGAAATCGATTCTGATAGGAAGAACATCATTAATCAATCATTATTCGACACGTGACCTCCATATGGTGTCCAAGGTGAAAGTCGAAGACAAAGGTCATTATTCACCTGCCTGTCCATGTGGACAAGGGTCTAAGACAGATGGTTATAAACTATCCCTCCTTTGTTGTTCGTATGGATAAAAGGTTAAAGGGAGATTGTTAGAGATGATTAGAAGCTGTCTCTTCGTAGAATATTTTATAAAATATTTTATTATTTTACGATTAGGTATAAAAACTCATCTTCAACACAATGAAATGGGGAGCATCTTTTTGACCACTCGGGTCTACACTTAAATATCTCGGGTTACTAATTTAGGCGTTAAAAGGACTGAGTTGGGAAATCTCTTTCGACCTTGATATTCATACAGGTGACATCTTGGGAGTTCAACGTTTCCACCTCGGAGGCACCTCAGACAACCCTATACATCCGAGTTTAGACTATTGAATATCGGATTTTGATGATGAAACCAATCGATAAATGTTTATGTTTTAATCTATGCTTTGAGTGACGTAGGATGCTTCGATCAGGATGAGACTATTAAAGCAAGAAAAATCATGTTGGGCCGGAGGAATATGTCAGAAGATTGGACGTCGGGCCGGTGGATCGGTCGACGTATCGACAGAAGGATTCGGGCAGTGGATTCGGGCATCGGGCCAAGAAGAGCATACATTGCGCCAAGGATATTGGAGTTGCAGAGTCAACTAACCGATTGGGCAATAGGCTGTAGGAGAGGACGATGCACCGAAGAATCAGATGAAGCGTCGAGAGACCAATGACATGCCGGACAACTTGATATCGACTTGGAGTCGATATGGAGATTGGACTCAAGGGAGGGCTGACCCGTAGAATGGTGGGCGCGAGGGCCACCATCAACTCAATGCAAAAACGAGGAGCAGAGCAACTTGGGTGTAACTTGGCGAAGTACCCAAGCCACATGAAGGGAGCCAGCATAGAAGATGGAACATGGAGCGGAGGCACAGTGCTTTCCTTGGATAGAGGTCAAGGACATGAATACTTGCAGCGGCAAGAGCAGGATCATGTTGTTCCATGGGTCCTTCATTCTGACGGAGCTGACTCATCTTGCATGGTGCCAAAGACGAAGGGAGCTTTTGGGCACATGCACCTTGTCTCGGAAAAGCATTTGATGGAGGAACTAAGGCGACTCAATTTGCAGAGGCGAAGTTGGGTTTAGAAGACTTACCAAAAAAGAAAAGTTGGGTTTAGAAGGCCTTGGCATGGGGCAAGAGGACGCAGAGGCAGGTACTCTTGAAGAATATGCCATAGTGTTGCCATTCAAGTTGCTAGGCAGGAAGCGGTGCATAGCGGAGATTGTGCTGGTAGGGGCAAAGGCCCAGGATCTAGACAATGGTGCACTAATTGCAGCGAAGTCGGTAGACTTCGGGAGCTACTAAGCGATGGACTATCCTAGAGCGGTGCTTCATCTAGGTGTAACCCAAGAGTGGGTGGATGAAGGTCGATTGCCAAAGGAGCGAACAAAATCGAAGGTGGAAGAGACCTTGCGATGTATTGACATAGGCCACACATGGAGGGATCACAATTTGAGTTCATCCCACAAGGATCAGAATGTAATAGAGATGTCACAAGGAGGCGACATTGTGCAACGGATCGTGGTGGAACAGTTCGTAGCAATGCGATACACATGACATAGTCCCGTGAGGGACTAGATCATATGGAGGTATAATCGAGAGCTACTGGAAGCTCCACTTCGGTGAACAACACGATTGCAAGAAGGGCTATGGATTTAAGGAGTGAAGGCCATGGTACCGCAAAGGCGGGTCTTCCGTGCGTGCATCAAATTTTGCATCGGATGAAAGCCTTGGTCATCAGCATATGGGGGCTGTGTTCCACCAAGAGAAAAGTTCGAATGCAAGTACTAGTGAGTCCCATGGGAGGGACTTGATCATACAGAGGTATGATCGAAGCAACTGGAGAGTTGGACTGCTCTAGAGCCCATATTCGCTTAAGGGAGCCCAGCAAGTCAGAGTACAAGGTCGAGTAAGCGAACGTTGCTACCAAGGAAGCTAAGGAGAACAGAATCAGTGTAAATCTTACAACGTGATGGCAGAGGCCATGCATGGGAGTTGCAGTCTGTTTTCCATCGACCAAAGGGAGCTGCTTGGAGAACATAGAGGTGTCGAAGTAGGGGTCGAAAGGGGCGAGGAAACGACGACGAGTCCAAAGGGACTTAGCTACCCAAAATCAAGCATCAGTTAGAATGGAGGTAGACTCAGAGGAGTGCCATAGAGACACGTCTACTGATCATGAAGAAAAGGGATGTAGATGCGAGGCGATGGATAGTAGGGCCATGGGCATGACAGCGCCATGGTATCGCAAAGGCGGGACTTCCATGAAAGTCATTGATCCTTTGCTCTCATGGAGGGAGAGCGCTTGGTTATGAAAGAGGCCGAGGAGGTGGAGCATGCAGAGGCAAACTCCAAGTACCAAGACAAGACTAAAGGGCATAGGCCAAGGAACTTCATAAAACCGGTGTCAACGAGCTTCTTATCAAGATAGTCAAAAGTGAAGGACTTCGGGTCAGGCAAGAGTGCACGACCAAGGAACGAAGTAGGCAGTACGTGGTGCTATACCTTTGCTACTCAGTGGAGTAGGCAGCAGGGTTGATGGAGAAGACAATACAATCCCAGAGGCAACCAAATCTATTATAAAATTACTCCAAGTTGGGGTGAAAACTTCCTGCATTCCAGAAGTTCAATGGCATTGAGAAGGTGAATCACAGTAACTAACTCAACGCAAGGAGTGCAAACACTTCAAGTGCTTCAGAAGTGTGAGCAAAGAGCAAGAGAAGGCTAGTAACCATCTCGATGCATGGAGTACAACCTCGAGGAGGCGGGCGAAGTCACGTAACCTTTGCCTTCTCAACTCTTAAGAAAATGGGCGAAACCGAGTACCCTAATTCTCTTATCTATCCAGAAGAGGAGCTCTGCACAGGTTTAAAGACCCTTCGAAGATAATAGTTATCAAATCCTCACTAACGGTGATCAGTGCTACTGAGAGTAGATTGTTCGCTTCATTTCCCAACAAAATGCCAATCGAAAGCGGAAGTGACGCGAATCTACTTGGAAGTGACACCTAAGTGAAAGAAGAGTCAATGGGCAAATTTTATGGAGGAAGGACCCAAAACTTTAGAAGTTTGCGAAGCGATGCTCGTTAAAGCTCCAACAAGCATCCACCCAAGTCAAGCAGTATGAGGCATTTGAGAGACTGGTGCATAGTAAGAATGGTCTTTCCCTTCATATGGAGGATCCGCAGGAACCAATAAGGATCAACACAACTCAGCCAACCCCACACTAAAGTCAGAGTCATTAGCGAGTTGAAGCAGCATGGCGGATCAAAAGTTTGACTACTCAAAAACAATAGTAGAGAGCAGTTGAGAGCCAAGAGGCGGATTGCAGCTAGAGCAGAAGATTGAAGACTCAGCAAGGGCGAGGAGTTGCAGTGTCGGCAAAGGCTTCGACGAGGACGTCAAAGGAATAAGTGGGGGAGAATGTCATGGATAAAGTTCCAAACAGGATGTTTGATGTAATATTTGTTGCAGTGTCGGCAAAGGCTTCGACGAGGACGTCAAAGGAATAAGTGGGGGAGAATGTCATGGATAAAGTTCCAAACAGGATGTTTGATGTAATATTTGTGCATGTCCGTGTCTTTCTATTTTGTTCATACTTTGCACAGTAGGTAGAGGAACGGCTGAAGGCTTAATAGTCCCATTTTAGTTAGGTTTGGTGGCCGCTTTAGGCTTGTAAATAAAGGTTATGTCATATGGACACTTGTGAGAGATTTTCCGTCTGTAATGGACCATTTTGACCCTTTGTTGTGCAACTGTTCAAAGCTTGTAAAGTCTGTTTGTAATTTGCATTGTCTATGAAGTGTTTCCTAGAATGTTTGCTTGTAGATCCCGAGTGAGGCATTCTCTTTAACCCGTTTTCTTTTTCGTAGGTCCTAATGGACCATGGGAGGCTTCGGGGAGGCTGACCTTTACAGATGGATACGCAAGGGTGCCGCACGACTTAGGCAAAACCAGCTAAGTCCGTGATAGAACTCTCGAACTTCCAACGTGATCTTGATCTTGACTCCGGCATAACACCTACTACATGTCTTACTGCCATCGTAGTTAATCCTGCACACTTTTTTCAACATATAGATTGGATCAACAAATGACAATTGATTTCATCATCAAAACCCGAGATTTAACAATCTCCCCCTTTTTGATGATGACAATCAATTGATGACAGAATTAACCTTAACTCCCCCTATCTATATGTCATACTTGAGAAAAGTCATTCTTGAATTCAAGGCCTTTGAATTCAAGAGACATATTGATAAGTTAAGTTCATTTAAACTTATCAATACATACATCATGATTCCTATCATGATGTAACATTCTGAAAATGATGTCAAGGCATGACATCCATTTTTAAGTCTTGATATTTCAATTATGAAGGATGACAAACATAGCATTCTATGGCAAGATATCAATTTGTAAAATTATAAGTTAAGATCTAGATATCTTATCATAATGAAGAAAAGTTAACATGCAAACTTTTTATGTGTAAAATTGTATACATTTATCATCAATAAATTACATACTTTTATCATCAATTTACCACATTTTGGTATTATTTCTCCCCCTTT